ACTACTACTACTACTACTACTACTACTACTACTACTACTACTACTACGTATACTACTACTACTACTACTACTCCTTCTACTACTACTACTACTTCTTTTGGGTGGCGGGGATACTCTTCAGACCCCCTGGATTGTTTGCCAGGAACGGGGGGGCCCCTTACTAATTAGGATCGAACATTATATGGCCGGCAGTCAAAAGTCCTTTTCCCAAAAGTGTGGATGTTGCACACCTGGTGGGCCCCTGCTTCTAAACCTCCTACTGTATATGTTTGAACTAGGCAACAGGGTCATTAGACGGTTCGCCCGCACAATCATTGCACTGCCCCCGAGCTTGGTACATCCATAGGCTTTGAATTATTAGGCTTTGCTAGTTAAGGAGACCACGCAGGGTCAGGGAGGCCCCATCCATCAAAAATCGAACTCACCTTCTTATCCTTCTTCCTTGGAACAGGCCAGGCCCACGGTGCCTGAAACTTCACGTCCAGGCCAATGCAGCCAAGGAACGAGAAAAAAACAGATCGGCTCGAGCTGTTCGGCTCTTGAGCCCCTTATCCAGAGATGGGACCTGGCGATGTAGCTGACGGATTGGGTATATCATATCTATCCAAATACCCGGGCCCAGTGGATGATAGTTAGGTGGCAGGATCTTGCAGGCCTTTTCCATCTCTAACGACACATGACACACAGCTCGAAAGGTGGCGCGAAGCGCGAACCATCGGCCTGCTGGCTCAATCATCTTCCCCTGTCGTCTCAGAATGCCAGCTTGCTCAGCCGCCTGGAACGGCGGGTCCCGTGGTGAGCAGTGGCTTGTCTTGGCTTTTGAGAGGTAAACATGCACTCGCAAACATGATGACTTGACATACCTGCTCCAACTTGCAACTTTGCAACATGGTATGTCCTTGTTATGCCCTATCGGTATCGTCCATCATCACTGAATTGCATCCCCTTATGCCATGAGCCAGGAGACTCTCCCTCCAACCGGAACGGCTCCAGGTCGACCGCGCACGGTCGTCCGCGCTCCGCGCTCCGCGCACGAAGGTCGAACGCCCCGTGCGCCCGCAGGGCGGAAGAGAACTCTGCGTCGTTCAGCAGCTGCTCCTGGCGTTCGCCCGGGGCCGGCCGAGCCGCTGGGGACACCGCGCGAACGGCGTCCGCGGGATCGATAAGCCGAGCGCCGGGCGTGGACTCGAAGCGAATTCTCGAGAAGGGAGGTCAACATCTACCCAGACACGACCAGTCTGGGACTGCCAGTCCGGACTGCCGATCAGGCCAGGGGTGGTGCTTGGGGGGTCTTGTTGGGGCGGCATATATGGCAGTCCCATGGAGTGTCTGGGATATATATGTCAACCATCCAGGTTTTGGGACGACTTCTGGGCAAGCCCTGAAAGAAGTGTGGACCTCTTAGTGTGGCCATCCATGGGGCTGGAATAGTTACATACATGTCCCGCATGAAAATGACCCCTCCAGGGTGGGAGCCCTCTTTCAGTCCAATGGTCTGGGCCCCCTTGAGGTGCAGCTGACAGCCGAGGTCATTGGCAGGCAGTGGAGCAGTGGGGGGAACGCATGAGAAGACGTGGGGGCTTGGGAAAGGCAATGTAAGTCACCAGTGTGTCTAGAAACAAGAGACTTGCCATGTCACGAAGACACAGTATGCAAAACGGCCGAAGACGGCTTAGATGGTGTTCAAACATGTTCTTGTTCCAATGGCGGGCGATGGTTACTTGCCTATTCATTCTCTTTTGGAGCTCCAAGGCAACGTTGGGCAGTCCAAGCTTCGTCCTTCTTGCCATGCAACAGGGCCAATGCTGGTCTTCAGTATGCACGGCCAAAAGGCATGAAAACAGTGGTCTGCAAATGTCTCCACGACCCCCTCCCAACCTCCCTCACAGTCTTTTCCTGTCTACAACTCGTGCTCCCAAACACATCCTGTGCGGTGCCCCAACAACCAGTCACCATCAAAGGTGATTCTACCAAACAATTGCCACCGTTCGCTGGAGCAATACAAACCCCTACTAAGAAGTTACACAGACCCTCCTGGTCCAAACTCCTGGTCCTGTCGGATCCTACGTCCAACGCCTGGTTCGCACGACCTCATGTTTGTACTGTTTTGGTCCGGGAACCCGGACATGAAACCGGTCAGTTCCTGACCTACTGGGTCATCAAGTTCACAAACAGTGAAGGCTGTGAAGGAAGAAAGACTCCTAGGTTATATATAACCATGCACATAAATTTAACAAACAAACACGGAGCAGATATATGGGCACATATAAACTTCGAAGTAAAATGGAATTCGTTGGAATTCCATTGATAACCAGGGCACGTTATACATTCCATTCATTGGAATGCCATTCTACAAGTCAACAGTTTTACGCGCAAACACACCAGAACTTCGCAGAAGCGCGCTCCTTGCGCTCGCCCAGCTTCTCGTTGAGCGCCGCCTGGCACGACCGGGTCACGCGCGCGGCGGCCTCGAGAAGGCCGTTCTGCTGGAGGATGGGGGAGCTTTGTGAGACCTTTGGCGCAGTAAAAAGACTGGGAGATGGAGAAACCAGACACATCCAATGACGCGACGTGTCTGGGACTGCCAGGACGGACTGCCTTCAAAACGGCCAGGGGCGGTGGTGCCAGGGGGGTCAATGTAGGCTTATTCCACACATGGAGTGTATGGGAATTGGCTTACATAAGGTCGCTTTTGGGGTCCCTTCTTCATGCGGATCGGTCACGGGATGGGCCATTGTCCGAGTGATTATGGAGTGTTGTCCGAGTCGCATGGACGT